AGGCTTGATTCCATGGCAGGAGCTAGGTGCCCATGTATAAGTAGTAGAGGTAGGGAAAATTCTAAAGATTCTATCCTGCAAATCACAACTCTGAAAGAACAAAAACATGACATGTAAAGAAGCCCTGGGCTCTCCCTCCTCTCTATTTTCCATTTGTTCCTATTGATTTACCTACAGACAGAGCCTCCTGGGCTATTGCCATAACCATAGCACATCTTCCTGCCTCCACTCTCAATCTAGCTCTCATATCACTGCCACCCTAAGCTACTTCATCCACACATCTGGAATATTCCTGCCCTGCTCAATTGCCTTAAGTGGGTCCCCATTGCCTACTGAGGAAAATCCAGGCATTGCTTGGCCTCTCATAACATGCTACCACTCTACTTTCCTAGTCTTATCTCCTATTATTCTTCTCCATGTCCTGTAGACTCCAGACAAATTGAATTATTTTCTCATCCTTGAAAATGTTCTTCCCTCTTTGTGTCTTTGCTCATACTTTTCCCCTTATTTCTTGTTTTGAATTCCTAACATTCTTTGAAGCACAGCTCCAACATCTTTAAATCTTCCTTGATCCTAAGCCATCCTCCTTTCCATCCCTTTTCCCTCTTCCCTCACCAATAGTTGTTTTGAAACCATAACACATACGAGTCAGCATGGTGTAATGGACAGAGAGGACGGCCTCAGAGGTAGGAAGATCTGGGCTAGAGTCCTGTCTGATCTGTCTTATCCCGGGGCAAGTCACTAATTACTTCTCAGTCCTCTAAGATAAGTTGCAGAGAAAATGTCTGCCTGAATTCAGAGAAAGAATGTCTCCCCAAGAGTTCCCTATACCAAAGGTCCAGTCCGTCTACCCATAATGCACTTGCCATTCAATGTATGTGTAGTCATTTCTGTCTTATGGCTCTGCCAGCCTGTATGTGATTTGAAAGCAGTTATTCACGTCTTATTCAAATGTTGCCTCTCCACAGGCCCTAGCACAGCTCGGGATACAGGAGGCACTTAATGATTTAAAAAAATAATTGAATTGAAGGGAATTGTAATTTGACAACCAAAAAATTCTTTGTTTAGCATTTCATTCCTTTAAATAGTTATGTAAAATACCTTGGGGCAGCTAGGTGTTACAGTGGAGTTTTAGAGTCAGGAAGGCCCATCTTTCTGAGTTCAAATCCTTCCTCAGACACCTACTAGTTACGTGACCCTGGGCAAATCATTTAAGACTGTTTGCCTTGGTTTCCTCATCTGGAAGATGAGCAGGAGAAGGAATGACAAACTACTCCAATATCTTTGCCAAGAAAACCCCAAATGGGATCACAAAGAGTCAGACATGACACAAGTACCTTAGACTGTCACCAGCAAGTCAGAAGCAACATGGTAGCGTGAAAGCATTGGATTAGGAGTCCAAGGCCCTGGTGGAGAGAGTCTGTATACCCCAGAACATCCTGGCTATTCCACTTTCTATGTCTGACCTTGGACAAATCTCTTTGCTTCTCTGGGCTTGGGTTCTTCATCTATAAAATGTGAGGGTTCAGCGCCTCTTAAACTGTAGGTCACGACCCCATGGGGTTGAGAAAAATTTGGCAACAGTAAAAGGTTTCTGAATGTACAACAACCAAAAATTAATCCAAAATCAAAGGTGCAGTGAATCTGAGGTGTTTCTGGCAGTGCTTGCCTGTGTGGTATCACACAACTTCACTGCAGTCTTGGTTCTGAACACAAAGCATGTGAACGTTGCACTGAGTGTGCCCTCAGGCCACACAACACCAGCAAATGCTGCCCAAACATGAAAAAGGGGTCACAAGTGGAAAAAGGTTAAGAAGCTCTGGACTAGATGACCTCTAAAATCCCTTCCACCTTGAAGTCTAGTCTATGCCCCTTAGTACCTACTGAGTTCTGAGCTGGGCCTATATTCTGGATAGATGTCTTCAGAAGCCAGTATTATTCAATAGATTTAGGTCCTGATTAATGTGAATAATGAATTCTCTCTTTCCCCTCCCCAATCCCCTCTTAAAGTGGTGGCATTATTTGAATTCACACTGTGCATTTCCACTGGGCTAGAATGAATTACCAAATGTTATGTAACCATAACTTTGAATATAATTCAAATTCAAATACATCCAATTCAGGAGATTCATTATTCACATTAATCAAGCCTAGCTCTAGCTGGGCATGGAATTCTCTGTAAACATCTAATAATGCCTCGTCACTATAAATCGTATCTTCCCACAGTGTTTCACACAAAGTAGATTGCCTAATCAGTATTGCTCGAAAGAAAGAGATAGACATGACTCCAAAAATGTAAATCGATGAACAACATGAAGAAATTGCCGTATAATTTTAAAGACCAAGGGTTTCCTCTACAGTTTGGGGGGGGGGGGAACCCTGCGGCCTCAAGGCCCCATGTGGCCCTCTAGGTCCTCAAGAGTGGCCCTTTGACGAAGTCCAAGTTTTACAGAACAAATCCTTTTATTAAGGAGATTTGTTCTGCGAAGTTTGGATTCTATCAAAGGGCATCCCAGCTCTAGATAGAAGAGGTGAGAAAACGGACCTCCCTTTCTTCTTTGCCAACATTGGAGACAAAAGGTATGGAACATTGTGTATGGTTCAGACATAGTTGATATTTTGTTAGTTTGGTTGAACTACTTTTTTTCCTCTTTCTTTTTAAAAAATTCTTGTTATAAAGGATAACATAAAAAAGCCATCCTTATTTTCCTTTCCCTATTCCTATAGATGGGTAGGGAAGAAGAAAGGATGTATTCAGAAATAAAGTGACATAAAAAAGTCTGTTTTGAATAAAATAGACAAATAAAATTAATAAAAACAATAAAAAACATGTGTTGGTAGATTTGAATTCATTCAGGAAACAGACTTTAACCTGACAAAATTCATTCTTCTGAAGAGGGCCTCCCAACCTGGGATTTTAACCAAAAAATTTATTATAGCTTATAAATTATTCCAACTCAGGGCACACAAACACATTCTCCTTCTGGAGGTAAAAATGAGAAGATGCAATCTAGTGTAGTAGATAGTGAGTGTACTGGCATTGGAGTCGGAAGGTCTGGGTTTGTTGAAAACTATCTTTACATGTAATTAGAAAAAAAAATACTATTAAGGAAAAATTTTTTTTTAAAGTCTGGGTTCAATATTCTATATTCTTCTATATTCTGTCTGTGCGTCTTGGAGATAATTATTTTACATTCCTGGGCCTTAGTTACCCCAGCTCCAAAATAAGGGATTGCATTAGGGGGTCTCTAAGGTTTCTTCCAGTTTTCAATCCTACATTAAGCAACACCTTGTGTGGGACCTTGATCTTACCTGGAACCACAGGGGTTGGTTAGAAGATTCAGGACACTTCCCAGCTGTGTGACCCTGGGCAAATCACTTAACCCTATTTGCCTAAGTTTCCTCATTTGTAAAATGAGCAGGAAAAGGAAATACCAAAGTGCTCCAGTATCTCTGCCAAGAAAACCCCAAATGGGGTCATGAAGAATCAGGATTGACTGAAACAAGAGAATAAGATTTGGATGCTTCAACTGGAATTTATCACATGGCTGACAAGTAAGTCAGCCTACATCTGCTGATGATAATGATAAATTTGTGTGGGTTCACTTTTGGCCTAAGAGCTCAGAGTTCCCAAATCAGTAGAAATGTGATGAAGCCAAAGTCTGGCTTTTCATGGAGTGCAGTAAAAAGAACACTGAATTTAGACTTAAAGGACATGGGTTCTGATCCAGTTTCTCCTGCTTACTTAGCTATGTAACTTTGGGCAGGTTATTGAACCTCCCTGGGGGCCAGTTTCCTCACCTGGAAAATGAGGGGTTTGAACATGATGGCCTCTGAGGTCCTGGGATCCTGTCATATTTTTTGAGTCCTGAAAGGGTAATCCTAAAGGAGGTAAATTACTTTAGGTACAGGGGGGCATAATCTTTATGGGCTGCTTGAGAAGGTGATGGGAATCTACTTCCCAGTAGCCAACAACTGGCACTCTGGGGTTGAAGGAGAGTGGGGATGGGAGAGTAGTGATGGCTTGCTGTCCTGGGAGCCTTGCTTAGTGGTGTGGCATTGCCCTGATTTCCCTGGCTCTGTCAGTGGGGGTTCCATGTCACACACTGATTTTGTCTGGCCAGTCTGCTTCCAGCCAGGGATGCTCCACATCCCATACCTTTGGCAAACTCCCATAAACTATATTCTTCACATGTGAACGTCTGTAAAAAGGCTGTGGTTAGTGGGATGAAGGGGTCTGTGCTTCATTGCCTAATGCTTTCTGAGAAATGAGTTGTACAGTTTAACACTGTAAGCCACAAGAGAGGAAACAGAAGAGGTTATATTCAAACAAAAATGTGCTTAATTCCTAAATCTTGCTTTCATATCCTGGCACTCTCTCCCTCTTCTCCCTACACCATCTTTCTATAAGCATTGTTGTTTTCTTAATTTTAATCAGTCTACTTAATAAATACCTAGGATTTTGTCAAAATTTCTTGCTATCATTGCTTCACTGGAGGAGCTCCTTCAGGGACTGGGCTTTGGTTTTAATTTGTCTGGAACCCAGAAGAGAAAAAGAAATCAGCACCTTCCTTCCACTCTCTCCCCCCACCCCCCATCACCCTGTACTTGGTGAGATACTATAGGACTCATGGATCTTACTTTATCATTTGTTATTTTTAAAACACCCACTGGAGCAACACAAGTGTTAGTTATGCAGGGTGGGCATCCTCCGCCCCGATAATGGAGGCTCCCCAGAGCAGGAACAGAGGTGCTGGCAGACCATCTTGCAGCTGTTTTGCTGAGAACCAGAAAATCCCAAGACTTTGCTGTGGGATGGGTTTGCATGCCACCACTCTGTCTACTTATGTTAAGAAAAATGCCTTTCAATTCAGGAACTTTCTTCCTTCTCCTTAATTCGTTTCTGTTTCAGAAAATGAGGCTATGGCAGGCTGGTGGGGGATAGTGCAAACAATTGCAGTGTGATGATCAATAGGAGATAAGCTAGTGACTCACAGAAATACAAACAACAGGTAAAGGGTATTTTTTTTTCTTTAAAAAATGTTTCAACAAAGCATCCTTTTGAATACTTCCTCCATCATGAGACTGGTATTCCAACACTTTTTTGGCCATCTGGAAAATAACAGGGTTTAGCAAATGCAATGGATTCATATTCGTGTTCCATAAATATAAATACCAACACTTCACCTTGGATGGTCTATAGGACAGAAGGCCTACTTCACCTACAGAATAAAGAAATCTCCAGAGAGCCCAGTCTGGCTGCAAGTCTTTCTTTTGAGAGTATGGGGTGGCTGGCTATTAATTTGCCACATCCAAATTACTGAATGTCCTTTATCTTCAGCCTTATTTGGGACAGAAATTATCCACAATGAAGAAAACTGTCCAAGAACCAAGGAAAGATATTCCCTTTAGAAACCCATTTCTTTCTGAATGTGGAAAGGGGATCAGTTCTGCTTTCAGTAGACCAATACAGATTCTTTTTCTTTAGACTGATTCAGCCTAAACCGGAATCCAGAGATTGCACAAAGCAGGTTTTAGAAGCAAATTTACATAGTATGACATGCTTTCAGAGGAGGCAGATATTACTCATAACAATAATTCAATGGGATGTGTAATTCAGTAGGATTTGTATGGAACTGTTCAACTTCCCTCAACATGGAGATACATCAATTATCTTAATCCAAGAACTTGCAAGGGTTCCCCCTTCCCATCTTGGACTATTGGCATTGGCAAAATCCCCAAGTCTCATGTGAAAGAACCATCACTCTTGAGGTAGGCAACTCCACTGCTGTATCCGAGGTGCACAAAGTCAGGTGCTGTTGCCTTGAGGATAAATAGGAAAAACAAAGACCTCTCCCCGATCCCCAAAATCTCTGCATTTACACCCCACCCCCTAGAGTGCATGATTTCCTCTCCCAAAGGTGCAATCGAATAATAAACATTTTGATCAGGCTAAGGTTCTTCCTCCATCAGTGGGATTTCTGCAAAAACAAAACAAAACACAGAGTGGTGCAGTTGAAAATATGACAATGAATCAGCAATTATTAAAACCATTAAAACATCAATTATTCAAGATGAATTTTAGAGTCAATGGGTATTGAAATCCCCTTCCCCCCTTCTCCCTTATTTGTCAAAATGTTTTCACCACAAATGATAGATAACTCAGCATTTTAATATGTGACTAACTAAACCAGGAGTTCTTAACTTGAGGTCCATGGATCCCCAAGGGATCTAACGATAGATTCCAGGGGGTCCAAGAAACTGGATGGAAAGATATTTTTCTAATTGTATTTCAATGTAAGTTGTTTCCTTTAAATTCCTATTTGTCTTATTTTATGCATTTAAGAACATTATTCTGAGGAGGAGCCTGCAGGCCTTAACAGCCAGCCAGAGGAGTCTACCACACAAAAACAGTTAAGAACCCCTGACCTAGACTGACCCTAACTTAGAATTTTTGAGCTGAAAAGGAGTGCTCAAATTTCCTATGTCCAAAGGGAAACAATTGTCACCTTACAGACTGAAGAATTCATTACATTTTGCCATCTGCCCAAGTAGTCAACTAAACTGAAAGGCTATGAGATGCCTAGCTTGAAGACATTTTATTCAAAATATCCATCCAGCAAGAACGCCATACTGAGTATTATTAGAAGATAGGCTTGCCAATCAAGTTTCTTGGCTTATTTAGCTGGGCGACCTTGGGCAAGTCACTTCATTCAACTTACCTCAATCTGTAAAATCTCCTTTAAGGAGTTCTCAAAGCTTATGATGCTGAATGAGTCATCATAAGAAGATAAGAAGAGTAAAAGAGGTTCCTACAAGGGTAATGGCTCTCCTTCTCTTAGAGACACAATGGAGTTTAGTGGCTAGAAGGCTGGTCTTAGAGTCAGAAGGACCCAGATTCACCTGCTACTTCTGACACATACTATCTAAGTGGCCTTAGGCAAACCACTCAACTTCTGAGTGTCCTGGGCAACTCTCTAAAGCTATAAGTTGCAGATAAGTGGCCTATCTACATCAGTGGAGAGAGATTCCACACTGGATTATCTCTTAAACCCATGAAATCACAGGTCTAGACCCCCTCCCCAAAAAGAAAGGAAAAGAAAATAGCCCCCCTCAATTTCTACTAAAGCCCTACTCTGATGCTTTATTGAGGCATGGAATTGACTCTATGCTCTTAAAGGCCTGTCAACAATATTTATCAAATTGGAAAGACTGAACGCAGGCCCAGTGGACAAACAAGCCCACAGACAAACTCCATGTCTTTCTTCTGAGGACTAGGCCATGTGATTTTGAAGAGGAAAATTATCACAAGTCTGACCACCAGGGGACACGTTATTTTGGCTACAGTGACTCATGAAGAATCATCTGAGACGATGACAATCTGGCTCCAGTCTACCTTTCTAGATTTATTTCACGTTATTTCCCTTTACACAGTCCACTTTCCAACCAACTGGCCTTGTTGAGGTTCCCTGAATTTGGCATTTAATCTCTTGATTCTGTGTCTTCATAGAGGTTTTCCCCTACCCCTGGAATGTACTCCCTCCTCATCTTTTCCCCAAAGAATCCCAATCTTCCTTTAAAACGCATCTCAAGCACCACCTACTAGAAGCATTGCCTTATCCTCAGTTCCATTTCCTTCCTCGAACTATTTCACTTACTCATCTCTGTAAATGTTATATGCCCTCAGTAGAATGTAAGCTTGTTGAAGGCAGGGCCTACTGAATTTTGTTGTCTTGGTAACCCCAGTGCCTAGCACAATACCTTGCACATAGGAGGTATTTACTCAATGTTTCTTGAATTATTTGCAGGCATGGAATCTGCTCCAGTTGAGGGGATGAATTCATGATTCCTGAAGAACTTAAAGGTATTGTGATGCAGGGAGAAGTCCCTTGGATTTTGAGTCAGAGGACCTTGGTTCAAATCTTAGCAATGCTATTTACTACCTATGTGACCTTGGACAAATCACTTTACTTCTGTGGGACTCATTGTCTATATCTGCAAATAAGGGGGAGAGAGGTTGGATGACATTACCTCCAAAGTCTCTACCAACTTTAAATCTGGATCCCATAAGGTACATTTCTTCCCACAAGCATTCAGAAGCATAAGAAATAGCCAAGCTAACTTCTTCCAAAACTTATAAGCAAATAGTTTATGTCTTTCCTATTTGTGCTTCCTCCTTCCCCAGATATTAATAAATTTTTTTTTCCCTGTCCCTTCCCTCTCCACATTCCAGCTATTCCCTTCTCTCCTGTTCCTAGTCTTGTTAGGCTTGGAAAATATGTGTATAATCCTGTGATATAACTTTATCTGGTTGGCCCTGTTTGCAAGGTGCAGACCAGGGCCTATACAGGTTACAATCGATTATATGATTATAAATCAGGGCTCTGTTTATTTTTCTATTGTAAAGGGTAATCACCTGTTGGCTTTATTACCTATGCTTTGATAGCAGATGACAGCCCCTAAAAAGTGTTGGCCTAATGCCCTTCTAGGAAATATAATTCAAACATACTTGGAAAATTGAGATCCATTTTCATTGGCTTAATAAATACTTGTTAATTGATTGACTTGAGTACCATTGGTTTTCATTTTGAAAGGACCTAGTACTTTAAATATGTACAATTTCATTGGTATGGGTATTCCCTTGAGCAAAGGAGATCAGATACTTCTTGAGTTTCTGTGACCAAAAAAACCCAAAACAAAACTAGTTACTTGGTGGCCAGCCTCCTGGTGATACACTTCATTGAACTTTCTTGATTACAGAAGCCTTCCTAGCTTGTTATGACCTGCCAGAGTCTTTGATTGTCCAGGTTTACAGCCACACCATCATAAAGCATCAGAGTAGGAATTTAGTGAGGCATGGAAAGACAGCTTAAAATAAGCACATAATAACTTTTAATAGATGATTATTTAATACAGTGCAGTAGAAAAAAAAATCATGGGGCTGGGAGTCAAGAGACCTGAGTTCTAGTACCTTCTTTATCATTAACTTACTATGTGACCTCAATAAGTCACTTAACCTCTTGGTCATTCAACTATATCATTTGTAAAATAAAGGGACTGGACTAGATCACAGGTGTCAGACTCATGGCTGGCCCTAGCAGCAAAACTTTCCAGTGTGGCTGGAGCCAGATTGCAATGTAATTGAGACATTTGTTTGTCTGTTTTTTTGAAGCAATCAGGGTGCCCAGAGTCACAAAGCTAGTGTCTGAGGCCAGATTTGAACTCAAGTCCTCCTGATGCCAGCCAGGGCAGTTGCTCTATCCACTGTGCAACCTAGCTGCCAAGCAGGACATGTTTAACAAAATAAATAAAAATACAATGCAACACACATAATGTTAATTTGTGGTTTTGAGTCAATATAAGGCAGGCAGGGATCCCTTTCTAGTTGAATTTGACACTACTGAACCAGATGATGCTTCCCAGTCCTGTATCTGTCATTCTATAAGAGCTAGACTGGATGGTTCCTGATATCCCTTTCAGCTCTAAAATTGGAAAATTCTGTGAATATAGTCATTATGTTGCTTTGTTTTTACTATTAACCAATGCTCAGTCTTTAGTCATGACAGGAACATATATGCTTTAAATTGTTTTTCACATTCTATGAACTGTAAAACAGCTTCACGAGAGAGACCGTTTGGCCTAGTGGACAGTATGCTGTCCTCAGAGCCAGCCTGGAAGATGTGGGTTCCCATATTTGACACATATTGGCCATGTGAGCCCTGGGTAACCAAGGTTCTAGGCAACTCTCTAAGACTGTAAGTTTCAGAGAAGGTGCTGACCTGCATTGGTAGGGGAAGTTTCTCACTGGGAGCTCCCTTGTGGTCCGCCAGGATACCGGTGGAACTGGGGAGAGGCATGAATTAAACACCCCACATTCCCACATTGCCAGCTGGAACTGTCGTGAGCAAAGAAGCTATGGCGAGGACGTGGGGCGGTTGGAGTTAACTTTGCCCCGAGTGGGTTGATCTGGGACCCAGCTGTGGGCCCTATGGGCAAGAAGAATATGAAAGCAGTTTTTAGAATGTTGGCAAGAGTACCTGAGACCCCAGGGAACCTCCTTGCCCTTGGCTTTTATCTGCCTTTTTCTTCTTGAACTTCATTTTGATTGCCTTGGAAAATGATTGTACCCAGGGGGAAGGGGGATTCAAATATATCTTTATTAAATGGATTGCTCATTTGGACCCTCAGGCTTTGAGTGATCCACTGCACCAGACACAGAACTCGGGGCCATCCCTAAGCCAATCTCAGGTTCAGTCCTTGTCCCATCCCTCTTCTGCAGAAATATGGTATCGATACATACATACCCATTATATATTCATAACAGACTACTGTGTTTTCCTCTCCCCTGACACAAAGGCATACTATTCTTTTCCCAAACAATGTTTTAATGAAGTTTTTGGAATTATTTTTAAACATAATAATCTAGGCTTTATAACACAAAGACTAAATAGTCCCAACTCCAAACCTTCTGCCCTGAACTGTTTGGCATTCTTTTATAGCTCCTGAAAACTTAGCTAATTGGCTTATTTGTGAGGTGATGAGAATCATTCATCATCATAATTAGTCTTTCCACTGTACTCAGAGAGAAGCAATTTGTGCTGAGTGAGTGGGAAGCAGCCTGATTTGGGGTATTGCACTTTGGGGCAGGGTAGACCATGCAAAGAAGAATGTTTTTTGCTTTTGTTTTTTCTTGAAATGGGTTGAATTTTGTAAGGCCAACTTATACTAGAGAAAAAGTTTACCATCAGCAATATCAACACTTGGGCTGGTAGACACTTCCTCTGCAGTGGTGCTGTCCAATGCATCTGTTCTTTCTGAAACGGGCCGTGCTCCTGCTTGGCACATCGACGGAGAATACAAACTCTGGAGCAGCTCTGAAGAGCCTGATACGCCGTCACAGGTTTCACCCTCCCCTGGCAATGTGTCTATGTCCCCTGAGCCAGGGTATGCTGGCGGGCTCTGATCCTCTGCTGGCATGGGGCAGCCCTGGCCCACAGAAGACAAGTATCCTGGGGCTAAAGCGTTCAAGCTGCTGCTCACAGCTTCATCGTAGGAAGGCAACATGACGGGCACCCCATCCACCACCACAAAGTCAGGGTCACTGCTGGAGCTCCCTGAGAGGCCCCTAGATCAAAGAGAACCAGATGAGTGACTCTGACATCTGAAATGCCACCTGGAGGAAAGCAGACACAAGGCCCCATTGAGCATCATGAACTGAGTTCAAATCCTACCTCTGACACAGCAATAATAAACAACTTATATTTATGCAGCTTTTTTTGCAAAGCATTTATATAGGTTATCTCATTTAGCCTCATTATCATCTCATCATTAATAACAGAACTATGGGGGTGGGGGCATTATTGAATTTTAGTCACCTTTTCTGTACAAATGGGAACAGTAGCCCCTGTAATATCTCCCTTAAGATGTTGTTACAAGGATCAAATAAAATTAGATCAGTAAAATGATTTGTAAATCTTAAAGGGCTACATAAATATGAGCTATAACTATTTCATCAGGCTGCCTGCTCCCAACCTCCCTGAGATATGATATTATCATCAGTTCCCTAATTTATAAAATGAGATGGCTGGGGCTTGAGGGCTTCTAAGGTCCCTTCCAGCTCAATTATGATTCAATGATCTTAGGATTTTCAAATATTGCCCATTCACAGGTCAGTGGAAATCTGTTAAGCTAAAATCCTGAAGAATTTCCTAGGTCTAAAACAAATGACAACACATTTCTCAAAATTTGTTGTTGTTCCGTCACATTCAACTCTTCACGATCCTATTTGGGGTTTTCTTGGCAAAGATCCTGGAGCGGTTTTGCCATTTCATTCTCCAGCTCGTTTTACAGATGAGGAAACTGAGTTGAATGAAGTCGACTTGCTCCGGGTCACACAGCTAGTAAGCGTCTGATGTCAGATTTGAACTCACAAAGATGAGTCTTCCTGACTTCAGGCCTGGTGTTCTATCCACTGTGCCACCTAGCTACTTTGCCTTTATAAGCACATGTTATTTCTCCTGATAGAATATAAGGTCCTTGAGGGTAAGAACGGTTTCATTTTTGATTCTGTATCCCTAGTACCTACAATAACCAGTGCCTTGGACACCGTAGGTGCTAAAATGAATGCCCGTTGTTTATTGAGGCATAAAAGAAGTAAGTTCCCCAGATGTCGATACTGTCACCCACCTGTTTCCTTTCAAGAAGGCATACATGTTTCCTCCCTTTGTCGGCTAGCCTGTCTTACACAATTCCTTGGTTTTTTGGCCTTCTCCTTGTTTCCTCTGCGATCTACTGAGACCTTCAAGCTTGCCTCCTGCTTAGTCGTATTTTGACTCCAACGTAGAAGACCAATATGTGCTTAAGTATGACAAAGTGGAAAGAACACTGGATTTGGAGTCTGAAGATATGAGTTTGAATTCTCTCTGCTCTTTACTGCATGACTTTGTGCAAGTCATGATTTCCTCATCTATAAAATTAAGGTATTGGACTAGATCTTCTGCAAGGTCTCTTCTAGCTCAAGAGTCTTATAATTATGGTATATGGGAACCTACTTGCAGGGAAATGCATGTAGTTTTTTCCCCCTATTTTTGTTACTTTTCCTTTTGATAATTGATCACATAATGTTGGCAAATGAGCAATCCACTAATTTGCCAACCTTCGGCAGGTCTCAAAAACAAGTCTAAGACAATTTAGGCAACACTTTCCTTTACCAATTATGTTGGCCTGCCCTCTGGTGACTAAATGAGTGACTACAAGTTTTTCACTTGTGTTCTCTAAATCTACTTAGAGCATTCATTGCCAGAACATGATGGAAAATGATAGCATACTTTTCCCTCCCTCCCCACCTTGCCTCCCTTTATTTTGTTTTCCACTATGGTTTCTAGGAACATATTAGGGCAAAAAGAAGGCGATGCCTTTAGAATGAACCTTTCACTATTTCTGGTTATTAGGTGAGAGGGCTATTAAAGGAAACTGAAATCCATGAATAATAAAGAAAAAAATGATTTAACTTGTTAGAGAATCACAGAATCACAGAGTTAGGAGGGATATCCAAGACTATTTAATCTAATTCATACCTGAACAAGGGTCCTCTCTATTATCTGAAAAGGGATCAACCTGCCTTCCATGAAGGCCTCTAATGAAAGAATTCTTACCACCCCCAAAACAGCTCATTTTATTTAACTGTTATAGCTCTAATTGTTAAGAAATCCTTCTTTTTGTCAAGCCTAAGATGGACATTGTGCACTTGTGAGACTGATTTTCTGAACTCAAACGTGAGACTTAACATTTATCCCTACCAAGTTTTATTGTTTCTTTTGAATAGCGTGTTCCCTTTTAGAAACATATTCTAGCCACGAATCTGAGGTTGAAAGATCTTGATCTTACCCCTCAAGGTAAAACTTACTAATACTAAATCAATCAATAAACATTTATTAAGTGCCTACTATATGCCAGGCACTGTGCTAAGTGGCTAGGGATACAAAAAGACAGTCTCTGCCCTCAAGGAGCTTACAATCTAATAAGGTATTATTCCAACTGGATTTCCACACACATATAGAAGGTTCTGATGCGGACTTAAGCCCTTGATTACTGTTGATAGGAAACTTCTAATGACAGAGATACAGAGTGCCTCATGGCCTTAACAGAGCAGCTAGGTGGCTCAGTGGATAGAGTGCCAGGTCTGAAGTCAGGAAGACTCATCTTCATGAGTCTTCAGACTCTTACTTGTTGTGTGACCCGGGGCAAGTCATGTAACCCTGTTTGCCTCAGTTGCATCATCTGTAAAATGAGCTGAAGAAGGAAATGATAAACCACTACAGTATCTTTGCCAAAAAAAAAAACCCAAATGTAGTCATGAAGAGTCAGACACAACTGAAACAACATGGCCTTAATGGCAGAGAGAGGGATTTGACATATATCATTGCTTCAAACATTTACCACGTGGTCAGACCTACAAGCTGTGAGACAGTGCAGTTGTATGTACGTTCACGTGACAGTCACACTTAGTGGGCCTCAATCCTTCCATCCTCACTTGCAGCTTGACCTATTTGCAAGTCAGGTGGCAGGGTCGGTGTAGATGATCTCACCCAAACAGTAGAACAGCCTTGGTGTCTTTAGCCTGACTTCCAGGCTGAGAATGTGCTGCCTAGTCAGAGCCATTCCTTAATAATTGCCTTTCTCACTGTTCCTTTCACACTCCTCTGGTTGGTGTACATAGCTGTTAGTGTTCCATCTCCTCCTTGTGAGCTCTTTGAGAGCAGAGGTGTCTTTTGCTTTTCTTTGTATTTCTGGCACTTAGGATAGTGCCTGGTACACAGTGGATGTTTAATAAATGTTTATTGATTCTGACTCTCTTTCTCTTGATTATTCTCTAGCTACAAAAAAATGGAGCTGTATTTTTCCTCTTACCTTACTAAAAAACCAAAACCAAGTAAACAACTCCAAATCTCTCACATGCATGTGCACACACACACACACACACACACACACACATGCAGAACTGCTAATGACTGAAACTTATTTGATTTTCATTTTTTCCTATTTCTATCTTTGTTGGAAAATCAGTGATGAATGAAGTAGCCAGAAGATCAGGGAGTAGGAGGGAAGAAGAGGGGAAAAAAAAGTCAGCTAGATAACTTGTCTCTAAATAACCCAGGGTTGACCACAGTGGTTACAGTGCTTGAGGTATTTCACACTGGGAGGGATGACACTTCTATACCATCTTGGGGGGGGACAAAGCCCCAGGCTTAGCAGAGTGAAGGAACGGCTTCACATGTACTGGCTTCTCCTATCTCTAATTACTAATAAAGCCAAGTCTTTGAAGCCAAGAGTGAGGTCTGTGGTCACTGGGAAGCTCTGTAGGGTCATTTTTAAGACTTTGAAGAGGAACTGGCCAAAACTTAGACGGGAAAAAAAGCCTCTTTTTGAGGAGATATAAGAGAATAGATGGTTGTCTCCTCCTCTATCTTTCTCTACTTTTAAATTCTCCTCTTTCCCTTTGCATCTTCCCTCTCCTTCCTCCTTCCTTCTTTATTTACATATATGCATAAGGAAACAGTCTATATCCTATGTGTTCAAGTATTTAAAAGGGTTTAGAGCATTGGATTTAGAGTCAAAGGACTCTGGTCAAACCCTTACTACCTGTATGAACCTGGATGAGGCCTCAGTTTCCCTATCTATAAAGTAGGGGTTGGAACAGATGACTAAATGCCCTATTTACAGGGATCTATAAGGTCCCTTTCATCTATAAAACTATGATTGTCCTAAGGTGTTTCCTGACTTTCAAGGCACTTGTGGTCCACAGTCTCATACGTGACCAAATCATTTGATCAGACTGTATTTTTTCTATGTCCTCATTCCTTTCTGGAGGTATGCCTTGCCTCTTCTATTTGACAACAAGTTTCACAAGGAGAGAAGCCGAATCTCTCATTCTCTTTGATCCTCCCAATGCTTAGCACATGGTTGGTTATATAGTAAGTGCCAAACAAAATTCTTGTTAACTTATATGAAATCTGACCATGTTGATGAGTTGCGACATACTGAAGACAGCAGGTAAAAAGTGGTATGGCCATACTCTGTTAATCTTAACTGGGGAGGGCTTCATGGAGGAGGTAAAATACCTGACCTGGTTTTGAGGACAGAAATCAGTAAGAAGGGCATACTCCTAAGTGAGAGAGGGAAGATGCAGGCTTCATATGAAGAAACAAATACACAAGGAAATAGTGGGAGAAAACATAAAACTGCTTGGTAGAAGGCCTTTAAAAAAAGGGTTCTCTCTTTCTCCCTTTCCTTTTCTCCCTTCATTTACGAAGGCCAAAAATATCACAGCCAACCTTCCTTGGAGAGGAGGATCACGGCAAATTGTGACACTGCCCTTGTCCAGTGAATGATTTCTTATCTAAGGTATCCATGGGCCACTGATAGGAATTTACTGGGAAACAAATTCCAGAGATTATACTTCTGGATTGGTGTTTTACTAGGAATTTCACTGTATTATTGGCATTGGGTGGGCGATGAAAGGAATTGGACTTACATGGAGGTCAATGGTATGAGCCAAGAGTGCTATGCATTTAACAGATGATTACTGAGCTGTTATTGAAATGATAATAATAACAATGATAATAACAAACAACAATAAATTATTTCCTGATGATCACATGTAAAGGAGAAACAAGAGGCGAAAAAGGAGAGGGAAGATGTAAAGAGAGAGAAGAGGAGAAAAATAAAAAGAGAGGAAGAAGCAAAGGAGGGGGAGGAGACATAAGCAAGGGCAGAGGTAGCATGGCATACGCTATGGTATATATAGAAGGCCAGCCTGGAATTAGCCAAGTGGTGCAGTGGCTAGAGCACCAGATCTGGAGTCAGGAAGACTCATCTTTCTGAGTACAAATCTAGCTTCAGATACTCACTAGCTATGTGTACCTGGGCAAGTCACTTAACTTTGCCTCAGTTTCCTCATCTGTAAAATGAACGGGAGAAGGAAATAGCAAACCAATTTCTTTGCCAAGAAAACTCCAAATGAGGTCATGAGGAATCAGGCATAACTGAAAATGATTGAACAACAAAAGGTTCAAATACTTCCTCAGACACAGACTAGTATGTGAGCACAAGCAAATCGCTTACCCTCAATGACTCAGACAATTTTCTAAGATAGGAGTTATTAACCGGGGGTCTGTGAACTTGTCTTTTTGATAACTATATTTCACAGAATTGACTTCCTTGTTAATTCTATGAATTTTATTTTACTCATTTTAAGACATTATTGTGAGGAAAGGTTTGTGGTCTTCACTAGGCTGCCAAAGGGTTCCATGAAACAATAAAGGTTAAGAACCCAGGCTCTAAAATAAAGAGGTATAGATAATTTGCCAGTCTGCATAATGAGTTTCCATACAGGGAGCCTCCCCCTCTCCCTAAAATCACAGATTGAGACCCAAAAAACACAAAAGAGGAAGAAAATGTTGATCTCAAATGTTAAGTGCCCTACCAGCTACTTCTGGATTTTAGCTAGGTTGTGTGGACTTGGAGTTAGTAGAAGCCTGGGTTTGAATCCTGTCTCTGAAACTAGCTGGCTGTGTCACTTAATTTAATTAACAGCAAGCCATTTAGTTTCTCTGAAGCTCAGTTTCCTCATCTGTAAAATGGGGATAATTCCTGCAGAAAATTACCACACAGGGATATTTTGAGGTCAAATGAGACAACATACATAAAATACTTTGTAAACCCTAAAACGCCATCTCAGTGTTAGTAATTATGATTTGTTATTATCATTGTTATATTTTCATATCCTGATTATTTAAATAGAGAGAACTTCAGGGAGGAGGCAGGATTTCCATTCAAGTTTTGAGGAGAAAAGATGGATGCTTCCCTTCTCCCACTCCCACTCCAGCATTTACACAGCATTTTGTCTTATACCACTTACCTCATTTTATCCTAGAGTCAGGAAGACCTGAGTTCAGATCCAGCCTCAGACATTTCCCTTAACCTGTCTGACTCAGTTCCCTCAACTGTAAAATGGGGGTAATGGTAGCACCTACCTCTCACAAGGTTCTTGTGAGGATTAAATAAGATAACATTTGTAAAGTGCTTAGTACAGTGACTAGAACATGGTACAGGCTTAATACCTGCTTGTTTTCTTCTTTTCTTATCCTTACAACAACGCTGGGAGGTAGGTGCTCCATTTTTACAGATAAGAAAACTGAGTCAAACAGAGGCCAAGTGATTTGTCCAGAGGCACACAGTGAATAGTTAGCTATCTGAGGTGGGATTTCAACTCAGGTCTTCCTGACTCTACATTCAGTGGTCTATCCTAGCTGATTGGGGTGGGGGAAAAGAACAACCAGTGAGAGCTAAGAGATGGCTCAGGTAGGTTGGGCTCTCCTTTTCTAAAACAGCAAACACCCTGGAATTCCTCTTGGATTTCTACCTCTTGTAACAAAATTAACTACAACAAATTGTGCTACTAGACCAACTCCTTCTTTGGGACTAGAGGCCTTACTGTGGTGTGTGTGTGTGTGTGTGTGTGTGTGTAAGCATGCTATTTCTGTCTGAGAGAAATGATTAATAATAACTAATATCTTGGGGAGATTCAGAGCTCTCTTCTTATTCTAAATTCCTCATTTTAAGTTCAGTTTCTACTGATAATGAGATTGCATTAACTCTTGATCTTGGTCAGACCCCACCTAACCTTACAAAGAGTTTAATCTAAGGTAGGGAAGCCCATTGTGTTCTATCAAGTTTGGGTGAAGACAGGTCCTTTCGTCTAGACAGTGAAAGCTTCTGTGGTCTGAATAGAGATAATTTCTCTGTCCAAGGGTCAATCTCAGCCCCTCATTGACCACCTCCTACTCTTTCAAAGGGTATAGTTCTCTGCCATGATTGTGTTTGGTCTAAGAGAGGTAGTCAAACGACCATCCTTCTATTAATAACATACTGGCCTTATTAATAAAATGATTAAATTACCCAGAACTATATCTCTTGAACCTTTTTAATCATCACATGTCCATTCTTATCTGTAAGCTATCTGAGTGTAAAGGACCATGCACGCTTGACTTATCTTGTACAATGCTTAAGCTCATTATACAGTTGTGAGAAATTAAATCCTACTTGACAATGATGCTAACCAAATGAAACCCCCTTTTTTTGGTATTTGATCAAGGTAGGAAAAGAAAAGATGAAGAAAGGATCTTTCGTCTTGGATGTCTAAGTTCCCAAATGTGATATGACCCCATGACTGTGAGTCAGCATCATGTCTAGGTTTCCTAGAGTTCATAGGTTTAGAGCGGGAAGGGACCTTGGAAACCATGTCGTTTAACTCCTTCATTTTATAGATGAGGAAATGAAGCCTAGAGAGGTTAAATCACTTGCCAATGGCCTCACAGGCAGTGAATGACCCAGACAAGATTTGAACTCAGGTCCTACTGACTTCAAAGCCTGCATTTTGTCAAAGCCAGCTACTTCTCCCTCATGCCCCTACTCAGAACCTCCACTCTGCACTGTTCAAAAACTTAGCCAATCCTCTTCTGTTTTTCTGGCTCAAGGTAGCTGGGAGAATGACCAGATAGTGGGGGACTTCATGATCTATGGAAAGTCGAATGGTACTGACCTGGGAAGGAAATGTGTCTTGAATTTGGTCTGGAACATCCTGGCAAGAATGACCAACAGAAGCACCAGAAGGACACTGGTTGCTGTGAACGCCACTATTTTCCATGTTGTCAGTAGGGTCTCGTGGGGATTGGGCCAAATTTGCTCTGTTACAGAAGAGAACACAGCAATACAGTAAAACTTCCTTCCAGATTTTCAAGAAAGCTATCACAGACAAGCAGGTTTGTAAAGGTTCCCTTTGTGCTCATTCGCTGGATTTATTGGACAAACTGAAAAGCTCATGGCAAGTCTACTGTACCCATTAGGGTTCTGCAGAGATAATGGTTGACAACCATCCAGCACATATTACACCACATTAGATGCCACATAACATTTTAAAATGAATCTGCTAAGTGAGATTTGCCCAGAACTCAGATGGGAAGCAACAACATTGTACTTCTACACTAGCTAACTTGGATAGGAATCTAGTCTCAGATCCTCTTCCAACCAAGCCGCCTCTGACTCTCTGGGATTCTACTTATTGAGCAAGGAAATCTCCCCCATCCACTACAAGGAAATCCATTCTTAACAGAGGTTATGCAGGGTCCCTTTCACTCCAAGAAACATTGAAGTAAAGGCAAATTATAGGATTATAGATTTAGAACTGAAATTGACCTTCCTTAGAGGACATCTAGTTCAATCTACTCACTTTACATCTAGGGAAACTGAGCCCCAGGAAGGCTAAGTGACTTTGCCAAAGTCACACAGATATTAAGTGGCAGAACTGGGAACTGGAACCCAGGACCTCTAACTCCAAATCTTGCACTCTTTCCATTGCATCACATTGCCTTCTAATATTTTTCTTCACGTGCCTTTCAGAATTATCCTACTTGTACCATCCTGGGCCATCACTAGTCGTCCTGACTTTTGGCTTGCCACTGGACTTCCATGACTCTGGAAGAGAGCGTGAGGCTGACGACTGTGTGCAACTCTGCCTCACTTAAATCCAATTCATGCTCGAGTCAAGACATCACCCTATGCTGTCACTGGTCCTCTTCAAATACAAACAAAGAAGAACAAATTCATAGCCTTGGGGCTCAGTTCGAATAGAACATGCTCATAATTCCCTGGGCAGATGATAAGTTACTTGAGGGCAGGGTCTGTTTCATTGTTATTTTTATATCCTTAGTACCTAACATACTTCCTGGCACATAATAGGCACATAGAAAAGTTTCTTGATTGAATGATTGATAATTCTGATGAAAAGAAAAAAAAAGTCCCCCAGGAACAATGCAATCCTGATACCCTTTTTACCTGATTTTATGCAGAAGACTTGATAGGAAGGAAACCATTCTCCATACTGGCAAGTGATATACTTGTAGTCACTGGTGAGGCTGTAACCAGGATCACAATAGAACTCAATCACAGTTCCATGACTGAAACGATCACAAGGCCTTGGATGGCAGATATAGTCTCCGTGACTCACAATAGGTGGAAGTGGACATACTTGGACAGAAGGAAAGAACAAAACATTCAGTACATGTGTTCTTGACCTATGTAAGGCCTGAGAAAATTCAATTAATTAAAGATACTCTTCTAAATTAGTTATTAGATTATAAGGTCACTGCTTCTTCTCCAGCTTAGTCAATGGGTCAAATGGGAAACACACTGAAATATTCTGAGCATGCATTGCTGTCATGTAATGTCAAGAAGCAAATCATAAAAGAGATTCTTCTTACAATGCAGAAGATGTACCTATTAAATAGATGATATCAAGTTGCTCTATTAATAACGCATACCATCATATGCCAGGCAACCTAGTAAATAATGTTAAGGTATGTATAAGTAATACAGAAGGGGACAAATATCCTAAACCCAAACCCTGCTGCTAAAACAATGTGATAGATGGGGGTGGGGTGGGGGGGGGTAACATCTAAGATTACAACACTGTGGTCCTCATGTTTTTACCCAAATGCCTAATCACAAGTGTTTTGGTGGTGGTCAGCTACTAATCTATTTATTATCTGGCTGCGCTTATGAATCTTGCTCAAAGCATCACCATGAGAAAAAGGAAAGGGAGAAAAAATCCATTTCTAATTCTCTAGTTCGGGGCAGCTGGTTGGCACAGTGGATAGAGTGGTGGGTCTGGAGTTAGGAAGACTCCTCTTCCTGAGTTCAAATTTGATCTTAGATACTTACTAGCTGGGTAACCCTGGGCAAGTCCTTTAACCCTGTTTGCCTCAGTTTCCTCATCTGCAAAATGAGCTGGAGAAGGAAATGGCAAACCACTCCTGTATCTTTGCCAAGAAAAACCCAAATTTAGTCATAAAGGGTCAGATATAAGTAAAAAACAACTGAACGACAACATCAGTTCTCCAGTTTAAGGTGCCTTGGATTGTAAGGCAGGAAGAATTACATTAATAGGTGGCAAAGAAGATATGGCATTGGACTTGGAGTCAGGAAAGCCTGAGCTCAAATCCTGCCTCAAATGCATATTAGCCATGTGACTCTGAGCAAGTCACTTAATCATCTTCAGCCTCAGTTTCCTCATCTGTAAAACGGGAAAATAGCATCAACCTTTCAGGGTTGCTGTGAAGATCAAGTAAGATAATGCATATATATATATATATATATGTATATGTATATATGTATATGTATATATGTATATATATATGTATATATATATATATTTAAATGTATGTATATTTAAACCCTAAAGCACTATATAAACATTAGCTATTTTATTATTAATAATAGTAAAATGGCCAGAAGGAAAAAACACTCCAAGCAGTTGCCATGGCCTTAGTGGTGATTGGTGGCCTTATATTTTGCAGCACAGAGAACTGGCTTTACCAAATAGATGTAACAGTCAGTCAATAATCAATAGTCATTTTTAAGTGCTTACAATGGGTCAATCAGTCAGTTAATAAACATGTATTAAATGTCTACTATGCCAGGCACTGTGCTAAGTATTAAGCATACAAAGAAAGGCAAAAGACAGTCCCTGCCATCAGAGTTCAAAATCTAACAGGAGATCTAACATGCCAGCAAACAAGCAAGACACAGGATACACTGGAGATAATCAGCAGAGAGAAGGCACTAGAAGTAAGCCGGATTGGGAAAGGGTTCCTGTAGGAGGTGAGCTCTTAGCTGGGACTTGAAGGAAGCCAGGGAAGCCAGGAGGGGGAGATGAGGAAGAAGAGCATTCCCGACATGGAGAGATGGTGAAAATACACCGAGGAGTGGAATGGAGTGTCCTGTACAGAGACTAGCAAAGAGGCGGAATAGGTGGGAGTGAGTAAGGTGTAAGAAGACTAGAAAGGCGGGAGAAGGACAGGACATAAAGGCCTTGTGCTAGACACTGCTAGAGTTACAAATGCCAAAGTGGGACAATCGTTGCTCTAAAGGAGAGGGCAAGGGGGAGGAGGGCAGAGCAGTGTTCACAGACAAGTAAACATAGGAGATTTACAGAAAATAAATACACGTGTCTTGTTTTGATTTTGGCTTGGGAACACCAAGAACTGGAGACATCAGGAAAGGCCTCTAGGAGGACGTGGCCTATGAATCACACCTTGGAGGAAGCTAAAGTCTCTGAGGACTGGTGGTGATGAAGAAGGGCATTCCAGGGATGGGGCCAGCTTGCGTAAAGGTACAGAGATGGGGGACAGAATGTCCCATATGGAAGGGGGTAAGTGGGTCCACTGGGCTGGAGTACAGAGTGTGTGAAGGGCACTAATGTAACAGCCTGGAGAGAAAGGCTAGGCAGTTTGAAGGGCTTCATCGCCAGAGAAGCTTATGTTTGGTCCTAAAGTTAATGAAGAATCACTGGTGCCTTTTGGATAGGTGTGCAGCTCAGGCTGTTTTGGAGCATTTTGAACTGAATTTCCTAAAAGTATCTCAAATTCAATGCCCCGCCAAATGAAAATAACTCATAATCCTTCCCTCAAACCCCACAATTCTTCCAAACTTCCCTGTTTCTGTTGAGAGTTACCATTATCCTCCCAGTCACCTAGCTTCACTTCCATGGAGTCATCTTCCACTCTCTACTCTTCCTCACTTCAGGTACCAGATCAGCCCCCAAGTCTTGTCTTTTCCACCTATACAACACCTTACCCCCACCCTCTTCTCTCCACTGTCATGGCCACTGCTCAAGTTCAGGGCCTCATCACCTCTCATCTGGCCTACTGAAAAACCCTTCTCATTGGTATTTCTGCCTCATCTCTCCCCTCTAGATTCTAAACTGAAAGTGACCTTCAAAGTCATCCAACCCAACTCCTCATTTTACCTATGAAGAAACTGAGGCACAGAAAAGCTAAATAAGTTTCTAGTATTCAACTTGTTAGTTAACACAGGTATTGAAGATAGAATTTGAACCTAGTACTCTATCTACTTCATATAGCAATCTATCCGTTACACAGCTACCAACATATACTATGCAAGCACCATGACACAGTCAATAGAGAATGGACCTCAAAGCCAGGAAGGGCTGGGCTCTCGTCTGGCCTCTGCACATACTGGTTTGCTTCAAGCATCACTGTCTACGAGTGGCCATTCCTGGTCCTATCAGCTACTCTAGAATATAAACTCATTGAAGGCAAGAACTAGTTTTTGTTTTCGTACTCCCAGTTCTTTGCACAATCCACAACATATACAAGGAACTTATCAAATGCTTGCTGTTTATTGATCTTCCTTCATCTAGGATCTCCTATTTCTAATCTATCTTCCAATCAATCAATCAATCAAAAAGTGTTTATTAGGTACCTACTATGTGCTAGGCATTATGCTAGCCACTGGGAATACAGAGACAGAATTGATACAATTCCTGCTCTTAAGAAGATGTATTCTATAAGTCGACCATGTGTACACACGTCTTTCCATCTGCCCCAACTCACCCTCTGCCCAGATATCACTGTGATCTCCCCTTCCTGCCAGCTTCCCTGCCAATGTCCCCTTTCCCTTTTCCTCTCCCAGCTGGATGCCAGTCCCCTAGCCCTATCCTACTGGAGGAAATCCAGAGAGCCAGCTTCTTTCTAACTATAACAGAAACTTTTTTTGAGTGTGAGACAGACATGGCCATTCACATGGCTTCTATGAGAAAGAAGTAACTAACTACAATCCCTTCAGTAAGATGAGGCACCACCAGGCCTTAGCATCTGATCTGTGGCTGGACCCTGCAGACCACTGGGAATGGTTGTCTGACTTGCTGCTCAATCCAAAGGATCATTATGTCTGTCCACCCACCCTGAAGTTGAACTCTTCTATATGTGCCATCTTCCTTAATTAGAATATTCTTTTATTTTTCTAATTGTATCTCTAACACTTAGCACAGTGCTTGGTACATATCAAATACTAATCTCTCTATCTTGGTTTCTGTCTCAATCTCTGTCACTCTATTTTTTTACTTCTTTTCTTTCTCCTTCCCTTCTTCCTCCCTCTCTCCTTTCCCTCCTTTCCTTCCTTCCTCCTTCTTCTCTCCCTCTCTCCTTTCTTTCCTTCCTTCCCTTCCGTTCCTCCCCTCCTTCCTTCCTTTTTTATGCATATGCCACTGTTGGGCTGTGGTCCAGTGAAAAGAACTCTGATTTGGGAGACAAGAGGCAAAGGGCTTCCCTTCCTGGCTCTGCCACAAAATGTACTGTGTGCGGTGCAGTCCCTTTACCTTTCTGAGCCTCACTTTCCTCATCAGTTAGATGAGAGGAGGTTGAGTAAGATATCTCACAGTTTCTTTCCAACTCTAGTTTCTCTACCTTGATGGCTCTAAATAATCCAACCCAGCTGCTGCTGTGGATATCTTCAAACCCATGCCTTGAGCCACCAAGGGATCCTGCCAAGAAGTCCACAGAAAGGAAGTCTGCTTTCAAGTCCTTCACTTGGTATAATTAAATAGTTTAAGCCAGTGCCTGGCAGTGAACACAATCATATGCAAACATACAAATATGAAGGACTAAGTTTATTGGCTAATTTATCAAAAATTGTCAGCCAAGGCTCAGCTTCAGGCTTTTTGATGTTCATTCTCTATATCTGGTTCAGGGTGGATTGACCATAAAAAAAAAAAAAACAAATCAGAAATGCCACTCTGGGTGTGGGTCATACTCAGCCTGGAGTTCTGTGTCTGAATTGTCCTGCTGGGGAAGCAGCAGATGTAAATAGATGCAGATGATTTTGATATAATTTGAACAATGCATGTTTGAGTTCTTTTGAAACCCATGACCTTCATACTTTTTTTTTTTAACTGAAAGCCCCAGTGGACATAGAATGCAGCATAAAAGTTAAGAGGAGGCAAAGTGAGGGAGGTGGAAAAACAGATAGGAGAGAGAAAACAGTCCAATATGCATTCCTGGGAGGCTGATTATAATGTGTGACAATGCCTGTTCCCCAACCCCCAGAGACCCTGGGCTCTGTTTATATTCCCAAGACCCTCTTTTTTTGACAACTGAGATCAAAAAATGAGGGGATGAAAAATAACAAGATGAAGGCCCTCAGGCAGTGCTCAACAGTCACTGGGGGGA